AGGAGGTGAACCACTGACCAGGCACGAGAGGGGACAGCAGGCAGCACTGGGTCACCTGCCACAAAACATCCCCAGGGAATTCATCTGCTCCAGACAGGCTACAGAGACCAACCCAGAGATGTCAGTGTCGGGAAAAGGCAAGGAAAAGTCCCAAACAAGCATCTTTGGGTTAAAACAAAGAATTAGTTCTGCTACCAAAGAGTGGAAGCTGCCCTGGAGGGGCGGTGGGATATGGCTTCACCCAACAGCGACGCTGCACACGGCTACAGTTTGTTCTTAAAAAGCTGCTCCTGAAATCCTCAGTCACAGCCAAGTAACTAAATTAAGTCTAATGTTGATAACTGAAAGATTATGAAAATATTTGTTTTTGTTCAAACCATGTAAAAAATCCTCAATAATACATCGTAATCTTCTCTTTTTAAAACTAAACTGGAAGATCAACTCTCAGCATATTTAAGTGTATTACACACAATATTTTGTGAATTAAGATTTATTGATTTCCATTGTATTTGCTTTAAATATGGTTGAAGCTGACTGCAGAAAAGGGATGGTGAAATCTTTAAGTTAAAAGTAAACTAATGGTGAAAGAACATCACCTCTGGCTTCCATCCGTGCCTCGTTTAGCATGTTTTATCAATAAGTTCCAGGACTGTCACATCCAGGGATGTTGGAGGCCTCTCCCAGCAGTGTCCTTAGCTTTGTGTCATTTTCCTGTGCCAGAGGTGAGCGTGCTTTCAAAAATACTGCCACTTCCCAAGCACCGTGTCTTTGATTGCATCGACATACTGAGTGGGGACCCAATAGACCCAGTAGTAAGATGCTTCTGTTGGGCCCAGCTGAAATGCCTGCAATTAAAAATGACAACATTTACACATGGGAACAAACTGCTGGCCCAGGGGACAGGCACAGCTCATCCACTGCCAAACCAGCCCAGTCTGTCCCACACTACAGCTCTTGGGTGGGCAATTAAATGAGCAGTCCAGAAAAACAAGAGCTGCACAGCACCAATAAAACAATGACCTCTTCCCTTTTACAACATCCCAGCAGCAACCAAAACTCACGGCCAGTTTCAAGAACATGAGGAAACTATTCTGGAACACAGTCTGAAGAATAACTCAGAGTCTCTAAAGAGATGACAGAGCTGAGAAGCCAAAACAGGAACTAAACAAGACAATGACTGTGTTTTTATAGTCATAACATTTCACAGGATTTTATATTTAGACATAATGTCCTATACTCAACTTCTCTCCTATGCCCAGGAGAGGAGCCCCACGGTGTGCCAGAACCTCTGTCCTTGCTGTGGGATAAATTTATTGCAACATGTGCTGAAGAGGACATTTTCTCCCATGGGTGAACAAAAATTAAGTATTTGGACAGAGACTACAGCACTACCCTTCTGCAGGCAATGATTCTAAGGTAAAACATTTTTCTTTTCTCCCCCTAAAGGAGGAAACAGACTTCTTACAGAAAAGAAACGTACTTTAACATTAAAAGTTAGTTACTGTACTTTGAAAAACCCCATAGATTGAAAGAAACAGAAAAAAATTCAGTACATTAGCACAGCTCTCTTCTGAAATGTTTCTTTGCTAGATCCAATACCAGCTGTTCAAAAAATTACAGTTGTGAAAAAATATTGCAGCATCAAGTCCCTTTTTCTTTTAATCTGCAGCAAGGCCTGTTGTTTATATAAATACCACAGACACCAGAAATCAAATCAGGTATTGAAAAATATCGCTAAGAAATCACAAGCTATGTGTAAGTATTTTTACTGGTTTAACACTGTCACAGTCAGAAGATACAAAATAATGCTTTAACACTTCATGTTCGTGTGAAACCAGCCCAGACTTCCAAACAGCAGCAGATACTCAATATGGACTCAAAATATTGACACTGTGACAGCAGTTCACATCCCCATCCCCATGAGGCTGGAACCACCATCCACTTCCAACCTGCTCCAATCTACAGCGTCCCTGGTGTGTTCTGCATGAAGGAATTAGATGGATATAATTAAAGTAGAGCTGTTACTCACCATCATGTGATAATCCTCATGGCCTTCAATAGGTTCACTCACCACATTTTTAATGGACCCCATGGGTAATTTTTCTGTTCTCTCTACATTAAAATTGATCAGAGTATTATTTCTGATGTGTGGGGAAGCAATACTTCATATCACTTTCATGTGTCACCTCCCTTGATGCCAAAACCCCCTCAGGTCAGCAGTCTCCTCTCAGGTGAGTTTGGGTACCTGGACCTGGCAGCACCAAGCCCCCCAGCTGGCACCCCAACAACGTGAGAGAACCCAAAACACAGTTTCTCTGCACCACAAGAAGCACTTCAGTGTTCCTGATTTGGGCCTAGACTGAGTGATGGGAAAACCCTGGCTTTATTTAATGTTTTCCCATAAGGAACAAATCCCCTCAGAACAGCAGAATAGCTCATCCCAGTGGAATCTAGTCTGGGTCTGAGAATATTCAGAACCAACTACCAAGGATTTTATAGAACTCTAAAGATAAACAGCAGGGCTGAAAGCTGGTGAAGAAAGGCTGACCTAACTCTGAAAGCCTAGGCCTGGCTTTCCCCTGAGGCAGTGTTCAGAGAAGCACAGGCAAAGGGATGTAAAAGAGCAAATAGGGACAGAAACAAATAGGAAAAAACCAAAAAAGGCTACAATTATACGGCAGAGTAACATCAGCCAGCCACAGGCACCAACAAGAGCAAACTAAGTACAGGGTCCAGGGCAGAGTTCTCCTGTCAGCTCTGTCCTCACTTCTCTCTGAACACTTAATTTCAAGATCCTGCCTTTCAGTTCCAGTGTTCAGCATCAGCCTAAAATTATCTACTTAGATACAAGACAGAGAACACCCAAAACACTCTACAAAGGACAAACCAAACTCTGAGTTCCTGAGATAGACCTAATTGATTTGTGTAATCAATAAAAAAGCACCTACTCAAAACAAGCACATAGGGAGATAAACTCAGTGATGTAAGGACAAACTCTCTCTGCCTCAGTGCTGTAACTAAGCCTACTTAGACTCATGAGTTCGTTCATGAGGTAAAAACTCACTTTGCCCTCGTTCAGGACCCCCCAAATCAATTCCTGCTCAGAGTATCCCATCAACAGACAAAATCCACATTATCAATGCCTCTGCAGAACTGACCAGAGCCACGGGGCAAACTTCGTGCTACAAACACCTGTGAGGCCCAGGGAGGCTGCAGGGGAAGAACCAGCTCCAGCTTTCCAACACCGGCAAGTGAGGAGCTGTGTGGACACCCAGGTGGGTTTCCCTCAGCCTGTACCTGCTAGCCTCTGCCATGCATTTCTCAGAGCAGGAAGGAGGTTTTCCCAAAATCAGCCAGCAATTACAGCCATTCCCTAGAGGAAGTAATCTGCTGCTAATTTGGGGAAGTAGGGAAACAGGTTATGGGAAAGATGGATGACTACAAGAAGAATCAAATTTCAAAGCTTATGGAACACTAATCTAGAATGCCACAGAAACACTACACTTGAAACTCATCTGGAAGGTGAAGGAAGACATTAATCACCTAAACACTAAGAATGGATTTAGAACACAGATCAGTAACAGAAACATCTGCCTCCCCAACCTAGAGAGCAAAAAACACACCCCAATACCTCATTCCATCACTTTGCCCAGGAGAGAAATGACTGCAACTGAGACCAAGAGAGGTTTTAGAGCCAGAAAGATCTTCACAGTCAAGTCTGTCCTACAAAGGAAAGGTCAAAAACTTCCAGGATTTCTGCTTACTTTGGAAATACTGTACCAGCTGGAGGTAATATTACCATCCAATTAGGCTACTTTGCTGGGACAGTGAGCAAGCACTTTTATTCCTCTTGCTCATCACTATATATTGGCCATCCTGGTCAAACTGAAGGAGCACAGCTTCCTTGAGAGGCAGGGGGTATCCCAGTGTCCCATTTAGCCTCAGGTGGCAACTGAGGACCATGCAGCCACTCACCCCCCTGCCCTGCTGGGATGGGGAGGAGAACTGGGGAAAAAAGTAAAAAAACTCACGAGTTCAGGTAAGAACAGTTTAATAATTGAAACAAAGTAAAAAATACTACTACTACTGATCATAATAATGGCAATAAAATAAAGAAAAATGAAACCCAAGAGAAACCAGTGATGTCCAGCATAGCAGCTCCCCACCCACTGACCAATGCCCAGCCTGTCCCTCAGCAGTGACCAGCCCCTCACAGCCAACTCCCCCCAGTTCATACTGGACACGATGCTCTGTGGTATGGGATATTCCTCTGGCCAGCTGCCCTGGCCCTGCTCCCTCCCAGCTCCTTGGACAGAGCCTGAGACACCAAACAGTCCTTGACTGAGGGTAAACACTGTGCAGCAACAACCAAAACATCAGTTCTTATCAGCATTATTCCCACCCTGAATCCAAGCCAGCTACTGGGAAGAAAACTCACTATATCCCAGCCCAAACCAGGACACAGACATCCTCAGCAAGGCACATTATCCCCGCATCAATCCCAGCTCTTCCCAGCACCACTCATGACTGCAAACTGACCCTCTGCACAGCACCACAGTTGTGCCTCACTGGGACAAGACACCTGAGCAATTCTGGCTGGAAGGACAGAGAGTGCCACAGATGCCAGCACTCCTGGTTTTAATCCCAGTTCTGAGATTCCCTTTTGAGTCTTGGCCAAGCCATTGAGCCTCTGTGTGCTCTTGGCATCAAGACCATGTTTATGGAGTACTTCTGAGACGTGCCAGAAATGCCAAATATCATCATTTACATTTGGGGCCAGGAATAGCACATTGGACCATTAGTCTGCTGGCACCACTGAACTCCAGTTTTTCAGGAACAGAAGTGGAATATCAAGTACTACTCAATGATCTGGGAGAATGGGATGTCAGAAGAGGAATCAAAGTTTCATTTTGAAGCGCTGCAATACCACCGTCATTCCCTAAACATGATTCAGTCACAGGAGAGGCTTTTCTAGGTCACACAATTCAGTCACAGCCCAATTACCAATTGTTCACCCCCAAGGTTGAGAGGTGCTCACCTTTTGTACCAATCCACAGCTGGTCTTGCTCGAGTTTAAAGGTCAGTCTGACTTTCCCCCCTGACTTGTTGTACATGCCGGACAGCGGCACCGTCGGCAGGCGCTCCTGCAAAGGGACACAGGCAGTCATGCTGAGGGACTGGCACAGACAAGCTACATTCTCTCAATGTTTTAAGCATAAGGACCATCCATCTTTCCAGCTTTCTGCTAAGACAGCAAAAAACCAATTCAACCAGCAGAGAAAGGTCTCAAACCACGAAAAAGTCTCTTCTCTCACTCTGAGCGTCTCGAGTCCGTATTCACGCACCTGCACGCCTTTGACAGAAGGCATCACATCATCAGGTTTTCCTTTATCCAATACTTTTCTGTGTTGCTACAATATAAAAACAGAAATTAAATTCACAGAAACACAACAGAGCTTTGTGATGTACTTGCAGCTGCTCCTCTGACCACATCCTGAGAGCACCAAGAGACAGCTGAGGGCTGTCCACAGGCATCTATCACATGGGCACCAGTTATTTTCAAACTTAATTGAGCACTTTCTAAGACAGTCTTAAAGAAATTACAAAAATGAAAAGAGCCCCCACATAATGCCAAGGGTAACAACTGTTCTAGAATATACAGACACATAAATATATCCCTATAAAAAAATGCAGTAATCCTGAGTCCCACTCTCACCTCGTACACACCAAACCACAGAGCTGGCATTTGGTATTTTGATAGTTTTAACAGGCAAGTGCTACATCCAGTGAATGGCAGAAACCCTCCATGTCTGCCAGTGCAACCCAGCACCAAACTAGAATGGATTAGAGCAACATAACTAATAAATACACAGCCACAGCTTGTACCTGGCTGGGTCCCTTTAAGCAACAATGGGACTCAGATGATAAATGATGATAAACCACAGAACACCAACAGCATGTTTCATAGAGACTGCAGTTCAAGGGTGCACTACTTAATTTTAACCAAATTTGTTCTGAGGAAGGTACAAGGTTGGTAATACCTTGAGCTGGAAATCCTTTACTAGCCCCACTGCCAAACCAGCCTACTGAGCTGTGCTCCAAGATAGGAAAGGAGAATTCAGCACCCACATCTCCTTCAGTGCTGGGACAGCTGCAGGAGCTGCTCTCTTGGTGTTCACCTTAAGCAGTTTCTGGAGATCAAATTCTTTTATGCCAATAAAAATTAGTTAGATTTTAGACTGAATTAATCTGGACTGTGTTTGCACTAACAACCATCAAATGTTTCTGATATTTGCCACTTTTTGTCTGAAACGTTGGGCTGTGCCTGGCACCATGAGCAGTGTCTTGCAAAGCCCCAGTCCCTGCTGGGCTAAACACTTCCCTGCTGCTGAACTCCCCTGCCCAGAGCCCTTCCAGCGCTGAGCTGTCAGAAATGAACCCCCAGCGTGCTCTGAGGAGGAACAGGACCCAGAGTTGCCTGCAGAAAAAACACATACAGCTCTCCCACATCAGCAATTATTGAGACATTAATACTAACCTTTTGTCTGCAAAGTGGCTCCTTTTTGTTTTCCTCAGCTTTGACCTCCTGTTGAGCAGCTTCTTTGGGTGTATTTACTGCTAACACATCGTTGATGGTAGAGCCCACAACCATTATTTTCGCTCCGTTCGTTACTTTGATTTCCCGCAACGTTTTCTCCTCTGGCAGAAGTCCCTTGAACATAACTTTCTGCATGGCCGGCGGGAGGCCTAGAGATAAGCACAGCGATTAGGAGCCCGCGGCGGCGGCGGCAGGGGAGGCGCGGGGGAGGCGGTGGCGGCCCCAACACACCTGTGAGCGAGTGGATCTTCTGCTTCAGCTCGGCCCCCGTGCTGTCCAGGCAGAACTTCACGTCGTACTTGTTCTTGTTCCAGATCACCTTCAGCTCCACCAGCTCCCTGCCGCTCTCCGCGTCGCCGCCGTTGCTGACAGACGCCTGCAGGGGCTCCCGGCGCTCCTCGCCCTCCGGAGACCTCCCCGCCGCCGGCGAGCCGCCCCCTCCGCCGCAGCCCACCGGCAGCTGCTGCGCCTCCGCCTCCATGCCCGACTCCTCGGCACCTGCGGGGAGCGCACAGGAAGAGCCCGGCCCGGGGGACGGTGCCCGGCCCGGCCGTGCTCCAACCCCGGAGCGCCGCCCGCAGCGTGTCCGGGGCCGCCTCCATCCCATCTCATCCCATCCCATCCCATCCCATCCCATCCCGGCCCGCCGCACCCGCACCGGCACCTCGGGCACCCGGCACCTCGGACACTCAGCACCGCGGGCACCCGGCACCGCCGGCTCCGGGCACCGCCGGCTCCGGGCACCGCCGGCTCCGGGCACCGCCGGCTCCGGGCACCGCCGGCTCCGGGCACCGCCGGCTCCGGGCACCGCCGGCTCCGGGCACCAGCCCCGCACCGACACTGTCGGCTCCCGACACCGTCGGCCCCCGGCCCCAGTCCCGCTCCGAGCCCCGCGGACTCCCGGCCCCGCGCGTACCATCGGCGGCGGCAGCGGCGGCGGCGGCCATGATGATTGTGTACAATCTCCGCGGGGCACGCCGGGAAACGCCGCCGCCGCGCCTGGGCCGCGCCGGCTCCCGTAGCCGCCCCCGCCCGCCCCTCAGCGCGGGGGCGGTGCGGACCCCGCAGGCCGCGCCCCCGGGGCGGGGGCGGTGCCGCGCGGGGAGGCGGGACGGGCGCCGGTCCCCCCGCTCGGCGCCACGGGCACCGGGACCCTCCCACGCGGGCGGACGGGGGAGGGCGGCGGCGCCTTTAAGAGACGCCCCGCCCCCGGCGCGGCGCGCGCACTGATTGGCTGAGGCGGGCGGAAGCGGCGGCGCGGCCACGTGCGCGTGGAGCGATGGCGCGAGCGCTGCGCGCGCTGCGCGGGGCGGCGGGAGCGGGGTCTGGGCCCGGGCCCGAACGGGGGCCGCGAGTGCGGTTCGGGCCCAGCCCCACAGGTAACCGGTGCCTCCCCAGCCCCGCTCCTGCCCATCCTCCCCCGGGGCTCCGCTGCGGCGGGGGCGGCGCTTTGGGTTCGAAAACGTGAATTCGGACGCTCGAGGGGCGTGTGCGGGGAAGGCACTTGCTGGCTCCATGGGGAGCTGCCGGGCTCGCCCTGTCGGCACCTCCCTGTGCCCTCCGGGCTGTGCGGGGTCTCTGCTGGCAGTCGTGTTCCCTGGGACGTGCCGGCCCACAAGGGGTTTCCAGGTCACTTCAGCGAGTTCGTTTCTGGAAGGAGTTACCCAAAAGTCCTTTCCATAGCTAGGGCCCCCGGAGCCGCGTCTGTGCGGTGCAGCTCTGGCCCCGGTAACCTTGGGGACCCACTGCTATCGCAGTCAGCATCCATCGCCCTTCCAGCTCACGTTTAGATCTCTACCCTGGGCCACCTTTGTGACCAGCTCCTCTGATTTCCCCGCGATTACAGGTTTTCTGCATTTGGGTGGCCTTCGGACTGCTTTGTACAATTATATCTTTGCCAAAAAACACCAAGGGACCTTTATTTTGAGAGTGGAGGATACAGATCAGAATCGGGTGGTGCCCGGAGCTGCAGAAGGAATAGAAGATATGTTGGACTGGGCAGGTATTTAGAAACGTCTTTCATTTTTCAGTTACTGAACGCTTCTCTTGTAGAGATGAACAGCACTCACACTGAGGGCGGGTGTGACTCTGCCTTTGTGGGGACTGTTGTGATGGCCCAGCTGTTCAGTCCTGCTGTGCTGCTGTTCCAGGTATCCCCCCCGACGAGAGCCCGTGCCGAGGCGGCCCCCGCGGTCCGTACGTGCAGTCGCTGCGGCTGGAGCTGTACCGAGGTGCCAGCGCGGCGCTGCTGGAGAGCGGGGCTGCCTATCGCTGCTTCTGCACCCCCCAGCGCCTGGAGCTGCTCCGCAGGGAGGCCCTGCGCTGCCAGCACACCCCGCGGTACGAGCCCCTGCCCCCGGGCACCTTGCGGGCTGCACACTGCCCAAATTACAGTCGTGCAGCAATGGGGTTGTGTGTCACTGCCCGTGGAGAGACAAACCTGCGTCACCTTCAGAGGCTTTGGGGAGCGCCCTCCCGAGATGAGGTGTTTGACTGGACACGTGCTGGGCAGGTTACAGCTGAAATTCAGGGATCGGTGTAGGTTTTTGGGAGTGTAAAAATGACTGATGGGGTTGGCCTGTTCTGAACTGAGACTGTTGTTCTCATCTCCCAAAGATATGACAACCGGTGTCGGCACCTGACGCCCGTGGAAGTGGCCCAGAAGCTGTCACAGGGCCTCGACTACGTTGTCCGCTTCCGGCTGGAGAAGGGCGTGGAACCCTTCCAGGACCTGGTCTATGGCTGGAACAAGCACGAGGTGGCTGAGGTGGAAGGCGACCCCGTGATTCTCAAGGGGGACGGGTTCCCCACGTACCACCTGGCAAACGTGGTGGATGACCACTACATGGGCATCACCCACGTGCTGCGCGGGACCGAGTGGCTGACCTCGACCTCCAAGCACCTGCTTCTCTACAAAGCCTTTGGCTGGGAGCCCCCTCAGTTTGGGCACCTCCCGCTGCTGCTGAACAAGGACGGTGGGAAGTTGTCCAAGAGGCAAGGGGACATCTTCCTGGAGCGCTTTGTTCGGGATGGCTTCCTGCCGGAGGCACTGCTGGACATCGTCACCAACTGCGGCTCGGGGTTCACAGGTAACACCACAGGCTCCTGCTTGCCAGGTCGCTTGGTGCTGACTTTGGCAATGGGTTGGGTTTATTTTAATAGCTAAGGACTTTGTCAGTGTTTGAAGGGGTGAGGAAAAGGGTGCCAGTGACCAGTCAGCACTGAAATGCCACCAGGGCTTTTGCGGAGCTCCTGTGAAAGGAACTGGAATGGTGGAAACCTCTCTGCCTCTGTGCAGCCTTTTAAATTGAGTCTGGTGCCTAATGGGTTCCCACCTGGGACAACCCTCACCTCGAGGCGGAAAAACTGTCTGTGAACTCTTGGGAAAACTTGTATGCCGTGGGTAATAGTTGCAGTGCTGTCTAACATCTGCCCCACTTCTTGTTTAACCTGACAGTCTCCTTTTGTGGCTCTTGCTGTGTGGGGATCACAAATTAACTCATGTTTCGGGAGCTCCGCTTGGGATTGAAATCTTCCTTGGGCAATGAAGTCTTCTGGCTGAGTGTTACTTCTCTTTGTCTGACTGAGGAGGGCGGCGGAGCCGAGCGGAATGTCCCATTTCCCAGTGCCTCACCAGCAGCTGGCAGAGCCTGCTCCTGGGGAGGGGACAGCGTTCTGTGTGTGCCTGCTGCCAGCTCCCTCCTGCCTGCCAGGGGTGTCCCTGCTGCTGCTGGCACTGCACAAGTGGCTGTCCTGTGTCACCTTTCCTGGCCTGTGGTGAGAAGGAGTGGGAGAGGGGACGTGTGTGATTCCCTTTGGGTTCCGTTGCAGAGAAGCAGATGGGGAGGACTTTGGAAGAGCTGATCTCACAGTTTGAAATAGGCAGAATTACCACCCATTCTGCCCTCCTGGATCTTGAAATGCTCCCAGAATTCAACAGGTAAAAAATCAGTGGTAGCTTTTAAATGAAGTGAACAGCACATCAGTGAGAATTTATTCCTAGCACTTCGTTGTGGCTGGAGGTTTTGTTTGTGGGATCAAGCATGGTCTTGATGCAGCAGCTTTTGGGCTGTGCTACAGGGAAGTATAAGTTTGTGCTCACACCATTTCTTCCTCCTCTTGGGTCCTGTGCTTGGACACTGGTGTTGGGAACACTGTGAAAGGCTAGGGAGAAGGGTGGGTGTAGCTGGGAGGATGCAAAATCTTTAGTTTCAAAATAACATCTAAAAGGAGATAACACTTCCAGAAGGTTCTTTTGCAAGTACACTCGTGCTGCTGGGACATTGTGCTGCTAAGAGTGGCCTCATCTTCAGTTTACTGTGGGGCACCAGAGCTAAATGTTTCACTGTAGAAATGAATGTGGTTTAATGTTGTTTTTCTAACGGTTCCACAGTTTTAACTGGTAAATGTGGTTGGGGTGACTAGATCAAATCTAACCCAAAGCAGTCCAAAAGCAGGTTTCTTCTCTGTTGCAGGATTCACCTCACCCGTCACATCGAGAACGAAAGGCTGCGCCAGAGGCTCGTTAGGGAGCTGCAGGAGCTGGTGAAGCACATCTATGGGGATCAGCAAGTGGATCCAGAGGTTCTGGAAAAGGAATACGTGGAGCGAGTCCTTCTGCTGAGAAAAGTATGAGCAGTGATAGCACTGTGTCACCATTCTGGAGCTGAGGTGGTGTGGGATTCCTGGATGGAGCTCTGCTGTGGCACAGCCTGCACACAGCTGTGTCACGGCCTGCTCCAGTGCTCGTGTGCCAGCTGGCTGCCAAAATACCCTGATACAGGCAGCTGGCCTGTGGGAATGGGCCTGGTGAAGGTCCTGAGGGTCTTTGCAGAGTCATAAGCTCATGCATACCTTGCTGAGCCAGCAGAGAGCTCCATCAGAGAGAGACAACATGTCCCTGCTGTGAGAGGGATCATGGAACTGAGGGTGCTTTTGAAGACCTCTGTGCTTCCTACTGAGAGCAGAACTGTGGGTAGTGCTGGATCAGGTCAGCTGTGGCTTTGTCTAGATAAGCTGACAGTCTCCAAGCTGCTCTTCTCCTGTAGCCCAGGGAGCAGCTGGCTTGGGGCAGGAAGGTCCAGCCCCCAGATCCCTCATGCCAGCTCACCTCTCCCCTTTGCTGACTGGGCAGCGTAAGGTGTTCTGCTTTGCTGCTGCCCTGTGCTTTGGAGGCAGAGTCCAAGCAGCCTCTGCTGAGGCAGATGAAGCTGCTGGTGAAACCAGTGTGGTTTGTGTGCTGGGAGCTCAGTGAAGGGGCTGAGTGCTGGCCAGGGAAGGGTGAGCCCAGCTGTTCCCAGTCTGCCCCTGGGATGCTGCTGTAGTATCTGGGAGATTCCTTGTGAAGGATGAAGCCCTCTTTGTAGGGGCAGGACCTGACTGTCCCAGCGTGATGGCTGTGTGGTGGCAGTGGGACGGTGACTCATGGCTTCCCACTGCCTGGTGAAGGGGCAGATGAACATAATCAGCCACTTCTCCAGCCAGCTCTGAGTCAGCCACACATGGCTCAGCACCTTGGGGACAACCACAGCCCTCTGAGCTGCCTCTGTGTCCCTGCTCTGAGGGGCTCTGAAGCTGGAAAACTCAGCTGCCTCAATGTCAGCCGGTGACATTTCTGCCGAGCAGCACGAGGTACAGGGCACTGGTGTGGGGGGGGTCTCCAGCTTAGTGTGAAGCCCAGGCTGGATAGGTTTGCTTTCCCCACAGTGTAACCCTCTGCCTTGACAGCTTTGCTTTCTTTCCCCAGGGTCACATCAGCCTCCTGAAGAATCTGGTGTCGAGTGATTACTCTTACCTGTGGGTCAGGCCTTCGGTGTCCCGACAGCAGCTGCAAATGATTTCTGCAGAAGTAGATGAAATAGGAAAACTAGTCTTAGGGTAAGTATGCTGCTGCCTCAGCTCCTCATCTCTGAAAATTGTATTATTAAAAAGCAGTCAGAATTCTGCTTTTTCTGTGGTTTTCCAGGTCCTTGGCATAATTTTGTGATTTAAACTTCCTCTTTTGAATGAGCTCTGCTTCTGGTGAGCAGAGAGCACACCCTGGCACAGGGATGGTGTGAAGGGTAGGAATCCTGTGGTTTTCTTGTCCTCAGACTGTAAGGACACCTTCTTTCCTAAAGGCTCGTGACAAGGCAGGCAGCTGCCTTGACCGTGGAGGAGTTGAACAAAGACCTGAGAAACCTCCAGAAGCAAACCAGAGAGACCAAGTACAGCAGCATGATGCAGCTCCTCCGCTTGGCACTCAGTGGGCAGCAGGTACAAACAAGAGGTCTGAGAATGGGACCTTTTCCCTTTTCCCCCCCTTTCCTTTTTTGCCCCTGTTTTCTCCCCCCCCTTTTCTTTTTTCCTCCCTTTTCTTTTTTTCCCCCATTTTCTTTTTTCCCCCTCTTTCTTTTTTCTCCCTTTCCTTACCCTTTTTTCTTCTTTCCCTTCCTTTCCCCTGTTTCCTCTTCCCTTCCCTCTCCCATTCCCTTTCCCCTTTTCCCAGCTCTCTTCTCCCTGGTACCAAGATGCTGGTACTGGGACACCTCACAGGGCCCACATCAGTTCCATGTGGAGCACACGTACCAGTACCCAGCTGCTCTGGCCATAAGAGCTGTTCTGCACGTTTGGGAGCAGCAGCAGTGTCACAGTGTGAATATGCTGGTTATGAATCTAAAGTCAGAAAATCATCTGGAGCAGCCATAGGGAGCATTGGCACAGTTGTAGGTTTTGGGCAGAACTGGGATTTTATGTGCAATCTGCTTTCACGGAGCTCAAACTCAAGTTTTATGAAAGTTCTCCAAAGCCTAATCTTGGCTCAGCTCTGGCATTAATCCTTCAGGTCCATCTGACCAGGGCTGGCACTTGCCTTCAGGAGGAGAAACCCCAAAGCCTTGTTTGAGCCGCTCATGAACCCCCCTCCTTGCTCTGACAGCGACCCGAGAGCGAATCGCTCCATGGGTTCCGTCGGGATGACACAGAACCACGTGCTGGGAAGTGCCAGTTCCACGTGGGCAGTGACTCCTTCTGTGTTCGCAGCACGGGCCGAGCGTTGCCGAGATGATGGTGACTTTGGGAGCCAAGGAAGTGAGTGGCCGGATCCACAGAGCGCTGTCCAGCTGAGTGGCCGGATCCACAGAGCGCTGTCCAGCTGAGTGGCCGGATCCACAGAGCACTGTCCAGCTGAGTGGCCGGATCCACAGAGCACTGTCCAGCTGAGTGGCCGGATCCACAGAGCACTGTCCAGCTGAGTGGCCGGATCCACAGAGCACTGTCCAGCTGACGGGACCGCGGTGACACTGCCAGGCTGCTCTCGGATGGCACAGGAGCACGTGCCATTGTCCTCCACCTGTGGTTTTGATCTCAGCACGATTATTTCTGATCAGATGAGCTAGGCTTTAGATCAGGCAGGTGTCCATGCTGTTTCCAGGTCTGTTTGTACCTGCACTAAGCACAAACCACTTTGTCTGGAAGAGAAACCAAATCCAAATTCAGCTGTGTCCTGCTGTCACCTTGTGCATGGAGCCTGGTTTGTACAGGGAGCCTGGTTTCCAGGGTGGGAGAAAAAGACATTTATCAGCATTTAAATTCAGACCACGTGGACAGGAAGTAACTGCTGATAGCAGCAGATGAGTCTCTTTTTGGAGATAGCTTCACAATCAGGGTACCTACAGCTACGACAACACAGGTCCCCAGTAAATGCTGTGTGGGGAAGGTATTTTTATATATAGAAATATATATATATTTGAGCTTCTGCCTTCTTAGCTGCCATGGTGTCCTACCAAGCTAAGTGAGCTGCTTGGAGAAGGGAACTCTCCTCCCTGTGTACTGTGTCATGTGCGTGGTTCTGCTAAAAATATCCCCGATCCAGAGATTGGAATGTCTTTTCCTCTTTTGTCTGATGCCCTTTTAATTATTAAATTAATGTGGTAACTTTTCGTTCCGTTCTCACCAATGCTCTGCACGCCAGGGAGGGGAGGAGCTGCTGAAGGGGTTTGGGGGGTGTTTTACTGAGCCCACGCCCACAGTGAGCACTTCCACACCACAGAAACTCACGTGGGCTTCCCCCGGGGGCGTGCAAGGAGGGAGGGCGGGTGGATCTGCTTCCTGCTGGGGCGGAGCGGAGCGGGAGCCCATGGCCGGCACCAGGGAGCTGGAGCGGTGGCTCAGTGAGTGGGGACAGGGATGGGGTCCGGGGCTGCCTTGGCTGCTGGCACCAGTGCCACTTCCAAACTGGGTAGGCGCTGGAGCAGCTCCAGCTCTGTCAGTAAGGGCCCGTCATCTTCATGGAACCCCTGTAGGGTGACGTTCATGGGTGCTGTCGCTTATCTCTCTTGCCCAACTCTCCTGTCCATTCTCAGCCACAAAAGCTGGTTGAACAACAGGTTAGGGAGTGGATAAAGCAAAAAAATACTTTTTTCCCTCAATTTACTGTGTAAAAGGGAAAACAGTGTCTATGTTCCAACACAACATTTGCCGTAGGGTCCTGGGAGAGCTGCCTGGAAATACTTTTTAAGTTTCTTGTGCTAAAAGTGGTATCTGCTGTGGTCAGGTTGTGCCTGACTTTAAAAGTGTGCTTGGGACTGTAATTTTAGGCAGATTTAGTAACAGCTGTCTCCTGCTCATCCCATTTCTGCTACTAAAAGCCCCAGAGCAGCAGCAGCAGCAGCGAGGTCTGAGCCGCTTCCTACCCTGAGCCACTCGCTCACGCTGAGGCTGAGCTCTGCTGCATCCTTTCTTATTTTTCTCCCTCTGTAAGACAAGGCCACTGACCCGAGTATCCCTGAGGAAAACTGGGAATGCATCCAGCGGTTCTGTGACCAGGTGAACGCCGACACAGAGGGGTAAGGCAGAGGCACAGCTCTTTGTGTTCGCTCGGGCTGTCTGGCTCTGAGCTTCCCTCGTGGCTGGGGGGAAAGGGGCCTGGGGGAAAAGGGGCCTGGGGCTGCAGTGTGGGGAGCTGGAGAAGGAGCTGGGAATGGGCTCGGTGGGCTCTGCTGCTCCCAGGAGTGGAAATGAGTTGGAAATAGATGTATGCCAATGTGGTTGGTGGAGGGTGATGCCTGGGAATGGGCTCAGACATCCATTGCTGGAACAACACCAGACATCAGGTCCTGCTGGCTGTGCCCTCAGTAGCCCCTCTGGAGTCTGGCCAAGGATTCCTGATGGGGAGTCCTGCATGGAAGCCCTGAGGGAGCTCAGCCTCGGCTTTTCCTTCCTGAGGGGTGGGTGATCTCTGCTGGGACTTCCCCACCTTCCAGCTGATAGTCTGGGCTCTGTGGGAAGTAGCCAGGACTAATTAGGCAAATGACCTGTGAAAGCTGAGTGGTCATCTCTGTGCTTAGAGCAGGCAGCTCAGAGCTCATAGTCTGGCACCTGTGTCATGCCCAGGAGCCAGCACAGACTGTCAGGCTGTCGTGGAGGTGGCTGTGGAGAGCCAGCTCTCCTTGCCTGCCCAGAGAGATCCCCAGCCTGTCCCCACTGCTCCCTCCAAGGGACAGCCCCTGGGCACAGGGGAGGGCAGCACTGGGATCGCTGGGATCACTGGGCTCCAGCTCACCCCTCATGTGTGCCAGCCCCCGGCCAGCACTGTGCCCGAGGAAGGGGTGTCTCTCCTCTTGTGAATCCAGCAGTTGCTCTCCTCTGCAGAGCAAAACCAGGAGCATTTCTTTTTCCTGGGAACTTTGTGATCTGACTTGCTTCTGCTCCTCCCCAGCCCATTGCTTGCGCTGAGGCTGCTGGCACATAAAATCCAGTCCCCTCAGGAGAGGGAAGCTCTCCATGCACTCACAGTAAGTACTTCCATCCACACTTGGGAACAGAATTTGGTGGGTAGAACAGCATAGCAGACAGTACAGCTCTCTCTTCTCTTAGATGTCTCTCCTTTTCTGTTTTTCTTGTATGTCTCTCCCTTTTAACTTTCCCTTGTGTAAGGAATACAGAAACCAGGGCAGAGCAGAGGGAGTAGCTGCTGTTGTTCCTCCCCACGTCACTGCTGTAGTGTTTCTGTGGTATGCAGCTCTGTGTGACTTGTGTCCCACCACAGGGCAGTGGCCTGGAAGTTGTTAGTGATAGGTAGAACAGAGCAGACAGTCTTAAACATGCTGCTGTAGAAAGTTGGTGAAGGAAAAATACGTGTCCTTGCTGCACAATTTTCTCAGTGTCTTGTATTCGTGAATGCAGTGCCAGAAAGTTCTTAGATTTAGGATTATAATGGCAAAGTTTTTGAAAGCTCCCCAAGCCTGGTTTGTACAGTTCCTGTTGGTAACATTTTGTTTTCTGCAGGTGCTGGAGACCTGTGTGAACAACTGTGGTGACAGATTTCACGGTGAAATAGCAAAATTCAGGTTTCTGAATGAGCTGATTAAAGTGCTTTCCCCAAAGGTAGGTGGTGGTGGTTACAGGGCCTTTCAGGATGAGAAATGCAGCCCTGCTTTATCAGAGGCTGTGGGATCTTCTGGCCGTGTTCCTCTGCATCAGGGCAGGCCTGGGACCGCCTGAAATACCCTCTTGGCATCGCAGACATCGATTCCCCTTTTCGGTGGGTCCTGCACACATTTACCGCTGTCACATGTTTCATTTTCCATTGCATCAGCCCGGGGGCAGAGCTGCAAAACGCTGATTTCAGAGAAATGCTCAACTGAAGAACAAAACCCTTTCTCTCAGTCCCAGGCTTGGTAATGAAATTCTAGTGAAACCACAGAGTTTAAAGAATATGTCACTGCAAACAATTCTGTCTGCTGTTCTGACAGGACAGGTATCCTGATGCGAGTTTGAAATGCCTGATCTTGGGTAGGTTTGTGTTTTTATAGTACGTTAAAGTGAGGGCTTGTAGGCAATAATGAGAGAAATTGGAGAAAACATCCAGATGCTGATAAAAGACCATAACTTTCGTTTCTGGTTTTGTTCAGTTTTCCTGTGCCTGGGGCTGGCTGGGGCCGATGGTGGGATTGCATTGCAGCAGTTAAGGGAAGCAGTTAAAGCACAGATCTGTTTTCACTAAAATAAAACAACTCCTTTGGATTTTGGATTCAATAACTAATCAGAAAAGTTTGAAGTGATTTCATTTTGATTGTCATACAATATGTATGTAATTACCATAGCATTCCTTTTGTTTACAGCCACAGCTAAAGGCACTGTTCCCTAAACCCCAAAATACACTGTTGACAGCACTGTGAATAAACTCTTGTGAATCCATTTTCTCCTTGGTCTCTGGACACAAACCCCTCAGGGCCAGATCCCTGTTCCAGATTTGGCACCAGTGCTTTGGATTTGACCTTAAAATTTTGTCTTTCTTTACTGTTTTGTTTTCAGTACTATGGAACTTGGTCTTCAGAAAAAGTCAAGTTGAGGGTCACAGAAGTGATATTCAGTTGGACAGTCTGGTTTCCTCAGGAAGTCAAAATCCGGGATGCTTATCAGATGCTGAAGAAACAAGGTTCAGTTCTGTTATTTCAGTTTCCTTTTTAACCTCCCCAGCCATGTGGTTTCCCCCCACAGATATCTGTCCCCTTCAGTTTGTGACTCAGCTTTTTCATAACATGCTGTGTGTAAGGAAAAGAGACAAAGGCCACACTTCCCAGGCTGGTTGGGTACTGAAGGATGCATGGAACTGTTTAAAAGGATTTACCAAAGAACAGCCTCCCTGAGTCACAGCTCAGGCTGGCCTGGAGGCCTCTGTTCACACAGTGCTCACACTGTGTGCAGGGAAAAGGTGCAGGACAAACTCAGAATGATCTTTGCCCTGGAATACTCTCCCAGGATTATGATAGATGGGTTCAGAGGGTTCCTGAGCTGAATTTTTTTATCCACTCCATTATATTTGATAGTCCTCAGTGGTAATCCAGAAATCCCATGCAAACCCCCCCACACTGTTGAGCATCAGGGTTCCAGCAGCTCAGGCAGCGCTGAACAGCTACTGTTACCTGTTCCAGGGATTGTTAAAGAAGATCCTAAACTACCAGAAGACAAAATTTTACCCCCCCCTTCTCCAAGACCTCAGAATTCTATTTTTGACACAGATGAAGAGAAATCCAAGGTAAACCTTAGAGTTTTCATGACACACCCTCTGATTTGTACTGATGAGAAAAGAGGCTTAGTAATATTTTGGGAGCTCCTACTGTTTCAAAGAAACTATCTCAGAATAATGTTGATCCTTCCTGTGGTACAACAGCTAGAGAATGCTGTGAGGCTTTGTCAGAAATGTTTGCTTTGTAAAAAGTGAAACTTCTTTATAGAAAAGCATCAGTTTCTATGAAACCTTCCCAAGGAAGGGCTTCTCCAGGTCTTACAGAAGTTCTGCAGAGCCAGAGAGTTCCTAATCCCAACAGCCAAACTCTGTGCAGGCAGCATTATAACCTGAATTAGATCATGGGACAGGAGCCCACATATTTCCAGGATTACAGGAACTGGAGTGTCTCTGTGTGATGTGTGCCTGCAGCACAGTGCCCAGAGGCTGCTGCTCACTGCTGTCCCATCTCTGCCCTGACAGCTCCTGGCCAGGCTTCTGAAGAGCAGCCACCCCGAGGACCTGCAGGCAGCCAACCACCTGATCCAGAGTGTGGTTAGAGAGGTGGGAGCTCCTGGGGGAGAAGCTTGTTTGCAGCCAGGGAGGGTGGGAGGGCATGTGGCATTCAGTTTTTGGCAGGAGACCCTCTGTACTGGATCAGAATACAGCCCCAGAGGAGGGGCCATTTTCAGTCTTCATTATTCTGAATTTACAGTATGGGACAATTTTGTTTTGTTTTGCTAAAATATGCCACTGTGAGGAAGAGGGAAGATGCGAATGTCTATAGCCAGGAGCCTGGGTGGTGGGACACTTCCCCATCAGGGGGATCCTGGCAGAAGGACTGCAGTAGTGGTAGGAAGTTTCCAAAATAAACTCAGTTCCTAGGTGGAAAACAGCCACATCTGTACAGAAGTGCTTCTTTCCTGCACACAGTGTGTGTGTGCATGTCTGGCCTGTCCATTTTCGTGTTCCATCTGAAACAGCATCCCACTTTGCTGCTTAGGTAGGAGATTTGGTTTAACAAATCCCTCTGGTCATTTTGAGCACATTGTTCTGTGTGGCAGAAACCACCAACTCCTAGCTCGGATTTTGAAGTCTCACTCATGCCTGTGGTGAGATAGATCCTGTATGGACCAGCACAGGGCCAGGGTGCCCTGAGTGGGGCAGGGGGATTCTCTCTCTGCCATTGGCATGGAGGTGGGATACAGCTGGGAGCATGTTCTCACCTGTCCTGCTTTGTGTCTCCTCTAGTTGCAATCAGGTATTTATAGGAAGGAACTCCCCAAGTGTGACCCAGAGTGCCCCAGCCAAGCACATGCACTGGCTGTATCAGCCAAATCATCATCGAGCTTTATTTCATTTTTCATCACAGGAACAAGAAAGGTCAGCTCAGGTGTCCCGACGAGTGAAGGCCATCAGCGAGGTTTCTGAGAATGTCAAACAAATGGATGAGTTACTGGAGAACTACAGAAGACAAGAATTATCCCCAGCTGACCAGGAGACCCTACAGGTAAATGTTCTCTTTAATGCTTAAATGCTCTTCTTCCTCCCTCTTCTGGAGGGAGCATCACTTTCAGGTAATCACGGAGGTAGAGGTGTGAGTGTGCCTGGGGTCTCCTGAGCAGTGACGTGAAACATTTTGTCCCCAGACTCTGTTCCAGCGCTGTGAGAAGCTCAGGCCGCTGCTGTTCCGCCTGGCCAGCGAGGCGGTGGCTGACGATGAGGTTCTGGGTAAGAGCCACCACAGTCCTTGCATTTCTTTGCAGCTCAATTTGTCACCCTTGCTGTGACAGGGGTGTGCCTTTCCTCTGGGAGGGGAGTACTTGGGCACTTGGTACCCAAAGGTACAGGCAAAGCTCTCCACTTTCACCATACCCAGGGGATTGGCACTGAGTCTCCTGCTGCCCCTGTAGGAGGAAGCTGTTCTCACTTGAAGCCCAGAGTTAAACAGTGAATCCGTTTCTTCCAGCTGAGGTGGTTTCCAGAGTTTTTGGAGTTCTGATGTTCAGCGAACTGAAGGCTTTTGAGGCCTTTTCTCTCCAGAGATTGAAGTTCTTCCTGTCTTTAAACACAGAAGGGAGAATATGTTTTAAATTTTGTAAGTGTATTAGTGAGGAGGGTCATAAGAGCAGAATCTTTGAATTCCACAGGTGTGAAACTTAGTCCTTCCCAGAGGATGGCATTACAGTCCCGTCCATATGCTTTGAAAACCTGACTGAGGTGGTGATTGCTGAACAGACACCTGAAAAAGCAACCACAAGAGCTCAGCTGTGCCTTACACCTTCCTTTCACATCCATGGATGCCAGGGCTCTTCAGCTGGGGAGTGCTGGATTACAGACTCGAGTACACTGGGAAAAATGCAGAAGAAATGGCAGTAACTAGAAGTACTTTAGAGATGGGATCAGATTTCACAGTGATCTTGCTAAATGACAGAGAGGTCTGAAATCAGCAGCAGTGTGTGCAAAATGGAATGAAAGGCAAGTGAGGAGCTGAGGACAGGCTGCTCCACTGGCCTTTGCTCCAGGCAGGTCCTCAGGTGCACTGTCCCTTTCTCATGAGCAGTTTGGAGAGTGCTGTGGAACTGCCCTGCCCTTCCCCTTAGCACATCAGTGTTTTGTTTGTCCTGTGTCCCCAGCTGAGATCCTGCAGGCCAGTGACGAGCTCACGCGGGCGCTCGGGCAGTACAGGCAGGCTGTGTCCCTCGGGCAGTGCAGGGAGGCTGTGTCCCGCCAGGAGAACGGCGATGGAGAGGGTTCATCCTCCAGCTCTGCCCACGTGCCAGGTGAGGAGCACCTGCAGCTCTGCTTCTGTGTGTCAGCGGGGAGGGGTTTGGAAGGGAATAAATGTGGAGAAAATCTTACAACACAGGAAAAACATTATGTAACCATCGTCACCTTTTGCATTTCTGATAGCAATGCTCCTCTCTGGCTCTCTCTGTTCCCAGTGTGCCGACCAGCCCCGCGGCGCATGAAGAGCTACACCCTGATGGACTTCTCCGAGCTGGAGGCCACAGCCCAGCCTCCCTCAGAGCCCTTCGCAGACACACCCTCGGCCTCCCGCCATGGCAGCACAACCTCCACGTGCCTGCTCGAGGAGGAGTTACAGGCCTTAGGTCTGTAGCCCAGTTCAGTGCTACCCTTCTTACTGGGGTTCGTGGTGATTCATAAAGAGAGGAGAGCTTTGGCTTTAATGTCAGTCCCAAGAGAAAGTAGAGCCTTTCAGTCCTATGTTTTGAGGAATACAGTGTCTTTAGTGGTGTTAGACTGTAGCCAAACCACGGTTAGACAGCAAAGGAAGAACCTGTAGAAAACCCTTGTATTCTGTAAATTATCTGTGGCATTTTGGCATTTTTCTTAGGTTTCAGCAGTGACGGCCAGCACTCCGTAATGGCTCTTTTCCTCACGATCTGCCATCTCCTTCTTCTTTTTTGTGCCTGGCAGGAGGAGTGTGAACTTCTCACAGCCTTCCCCTGTAGCTGACCCCACTTTACAGGACCCTGCTGGAGAGCTCTGTCATACACACCTTTCCTGCCACTTTCTGGGCCCATTTGCCCTCTTCCCCCCTACTTTTTGGATTAAAAAAAAAAGTGAATCCACACCACCACTCAGCCCTCGTGCCAGTGTGCCTGGAGCAGGGGCTGTTCCAGGGATGCAGGGACATCCCCGACCCCGTTCTTCCTGGGCTCTGTGTGCGAGGTGAGGCAGGAGCGGGATGGGCGGTGGGAACGGCACCAAAGGGAGCGATGAGAGGTGACGGTGCCGTGCTGGGGACCCGGCTGGGCGGGCGGTGCCGCGGGGATCGGGGGGCCCGGCGGGGCGATGGGCACAGCCCCTACATCCCCTGTGCCGGCGGGGCCGGGGCTCCGCTCACCGCCGGGACCGCCCCGGGACCGCCCCGGGACCGCCCCGGGACCGCCCCGGGACCGCCCCGGGACCGCCCCGGGACCGCCCCGGGACCGCCCCGGGACCGCCCCGGGACCGCCCCGGGACCGCCCGGACCACCGCCCCGGGACCGGGACCGCCCCGGGCCCCGGGACCGCCGGGACCGCCCCGGGACCGCCCCGGGACCGCCCCGGGACCGCCCCGGGACCGCCCCGGGACCGCCCCGGGACCGCCCCGGGACCGCCCCGGGACCGCGGATCGTTTCCGGGTGCGCGGCGGGGCTGCGGCCGCTGCTCCTGGGCCCGTGTCCGGCTGTCCTCGGGCCGTGTCCGGCTGTCCCCCGCTGTCCCCGGCTGTCCCCCCGCGGTTCCCCCCGCCCCGGGCCGCGGCGATGGATTTCTCGCGGTTCCTGTCGGACGAGTTCGAGGTGAAGGGCTGGGTGAACGCGGCGTTCCGCGCCGTGCAGCAGGAGGCCCCGGGCAAGGTGGACGCCCACGCCGCCACCCTGGTGATGAAGCTGCAGCTCTTCATCCAGGAGGTGAACAACGCCGTGGAAGGTGCGGGGGCTGGGCTGGGGGGGCTTTGCTTGGCGTGGGGATGTGTCGGGCCGAGTCCTGTGCGGGTTTTGCGGCCCCGCTTCACCCCAGCTCGTGTGCTCCTGAGATCTGTGTCCTGGAACCTGGATCCTCCTGGGATGCACAGGAGGTGATGACAGGGAGACCCGTGCGGGCCACCCGAGGGCGTGTTGGCGATCCAGGCCTGGCCTTGGCAGAGACAGAGGGATCCTTACACCGATCTGGGGCCCCGTGATTATCCACCAGCACATCTGTGCTGAGTGCTGACAAACAGCAGCCCCTACCAGGGCTGGGTTAAATGGGATAATAGGGAAAATTTTTTCCCCGTAAGGTTTGTCCAGCCCTGGTAGAGCCTGTGAGGGCAATTGTGGAGTCACCATCCCTGGAGGGGCTTAAAAGCCTCCTGTAAGTTGGTACCTGGGGACATGGGTTAGTGGTGGCCTTGGCAGTGCTGGGGGAACAGCACTGAACTGTTGGGAACAGTTGGACTCTGGTCTCAGAGGGCTTTGTGATTCCATGGTAAAGTACCTATTTAAACTTTAAAGAAACAGCTGAAGTTTTGTTGTTTGCTGTTTTGCTGTGTTGTGTTGTTTTTTTCGAGTACTGAAGATTAAATAAGATTATTGAAAGACTCCCCCATTCCTCCAAGGGCTCTCAGCACTCCTCACTGACTCCTCAGTGTTTCTGCAGAAACAAGCCATCAGGCTCTCCAGAACATGCCCAGAGTCCTCCGGGAGTTGGAAGTCTTGAAACAGGAGGCAACGTTTCTGAAGGAGCAGATGATCCTTGTTAAAGAAGATATAAAGAAGTTTGAAGAAGACACAGCTCAGTCGATGCAGGTCAGTTCTTATAGGTTAGACATTAGAAAAAGGTTCTTCCCCCAGAGGATGGTCGGGCATTGAACAGGCTCCCCTGGGCAGTGGGCCCAGCACCAAGGCTGACAGAGTTCAAAAAACATTTGGATGATCCTCTCAGGCACATGGGATGACTCTTGGGGATGGTCCTGTGCAGGGCTAAGGGTTGGACTCGATGGTCCCTTCCAACGTGGCATATTCCGTGATACTTAGTGTTTATCTGCAGCTTGTGAAATTTAAAATGTGTGGAAAGGTGGGTGTGACCCAGACCTGTGCAATCTGCATGTCCTGAGGAACACCTGCTCAGGTGTCAGTTCAGAGCTGCTGGTACCTGGCTGGGGCACTGCTTTCTGCCTGGGGTGCAGAGCATTTTCAGGCAAAGTGGATACTAAAAGTACGAGACCAGAATTCAAACTAACCTAAACTAACCTTTTGTTGTTTGACTTTGAAAGTTGATTTTACATCTCTTACATCTCAAGTTCTTTCTGCCCATTCCTTCCTCTTTGTAACGTCATAATCTTTTCATACCATTTTTTTTTAAGTCCAAGACAAAAATAACTCTGCTGAAATAAGTATCCATGGCAGCCACCTCTTTTTTCAGCAGGCAACATAGTGTTGTTTTTTCTTCAGGTCTTGGTAGAGATTGACCAAGTGAAGTCTAGAATGCAGTTGGCTGCCGAGTCACTTCAGGAAGCAGACAAATGGAGCACGTTAAGTGCAGACATTGAAGAGACTCTTAAAACACAGGTAAATACTGAATTATTCTGTTTGGTCTTTGTGCCTTCAGCTTTCCAGTGAACTGCATTTGAAAGTAGGCTTTTGAAGTGACTCTCAAACATGTTGCTGTTTGAAATGTCGTTATGAAACTGGTGCTGATGCTGTCTGAGGTCACCCTTGGTAACAGGCTGCCTTTGCTGCTGGCAGGATGTGTCCCTGATTTCGGCCAAGCTGACGAGCATGCAGAGCAGCCTGGCCATGCTGGTGGACACGCCGGATTACTCCGAGAAGTGTGTGCACCTGGAGGCGCTGAAGAACCGCCTGGAGGCCATGGCCAGCCCTCAGATTGTTGCAGCTTTCAACTCCCAGTCTGTAGGTCAGTAACACTTGGTGTCATTTACTATCAACATAGAGTTTATTGTCTTTAAGGTGGTGTTTTGGACTGTTCTCTATGCTCTTCCTTCCCTCTGCTCCTGTCAGCACTTCTGAAAAGTACTTTTTCTGGTTGTTGACTCTCAGCTGTGTGCACCTCGAGGTCCCAGGGGGATCTGGGGCTGTGGGGTACAAACCAGACTATTTAGGAACCTGTGTTTCCAAGCTCTGTGCAGGAGCTCACTGTGCTATGGGTCAGTCTAAGGCACAGGGGTCAGTTTGAAGACAGGTGAAAGCAAACCTGAGGCCTTTGTCAGGAATGCTCCAGGTTTGTAAGTAGTGCCATATTTCTGGAAAACAATGTTTTCCTTCTAGGAAATGCTCTGTCTTTATCTGACTTTAATACCAGGTACACATGCTGGTTAAGAAGTTAATTTTAAGAAGTTAAATTAATTCCTCTTGTCTGCTGCCTGTTCTTGATTGAGGGTGGGCTTTAGGCAGTTTCTCTCCTGTTTGAGAAGATAAGCAAACAAGAGGTGAAATGTATAGGTCTTTGTGCACGCTCCCTTAGGAGAAGAATTCTTGCTCAGACTGATGTCTCTCCCTCAGCTTTGAGGCTGATCCTGACTGCCTTTTGTTTTCTTTGGTTTAGATCAGGCAAAAACGTTTGTTAAAGTTTTCACAGAAATCGATCGGATGCCGCAGCTTCTGGCTTATTATTATAAATGTCACAAGGTAAGCATTTTGGTAATATTTTAACATTCTAGGAATAAAAATTACAATGCTTGCTGGGCTTTGACTGCAGAGGGAGCTGCTGCCCCACGGATCTCACCTTTGCTGTGGCAGGGAGGTGGCTCCTCTTCCTTTTCAAAGTTCCTTCTCTTGCCGGCTCTGAACAACTTTAGTTACTCCCCGTGTTTCATGAGTAATTCTCTGTTCAGGTCCTTGTGTCTCTTTCTGCAGCAGACACGGGATATGTGTGTTCTGCTTGATTTCTCTGTGCCACATGGTTTTGCTTTGCTTTCTGTGCATGTGGCTATGTCAGCAGTAACTTCATTACTGCAACTTGCCATCTGCTGACTTCTGTAAACTCTTTTCAGGTAAGATTAAAACTTGGAATTCCAGACAGTTCTGTAGCCATAACATGAGCCTCAAATTTCTCACATGACTGTGACTTTTGAGGATTAAGTTCAAGGCTGGGGCTTGCCAAGTATTTCAACTATTATGTGGGGGTATCAGTTACAATCTCATTTTATGAGTAAAATACCAATGTTAATTAAATCTTTGAATCACTAAGAAGCCTCAAGCTTCATGCTGGAAGTCTTTTCCTTCTGTGGTGCTGAATTATATGTTAACTGAAATCTGGAGAGAGGAGCCAGGGTGGGCCTCACGTTTTGGCAGAAGTGCTGTGCATGGGGAGTGCTGGATTTGGAATAACAAAAGCAAGACCTGTGGCCTATCCATTCTCCTCTCAGATGGTTCTTGTTCCCTGGCAGGTGCAACTGGTGGCCGCGTGGCAGGAGCTTTGCCAGAGTGACCTAAGCTTGAATCGGCAGCTGACTGAGCTGTACGACACCCTGCTGGGGACCTGGCACTGCCAGCTCCAGTGGGCAGCACAGGTGCAGTGACAGGTTCATGTTGGGCAGGGATGGGAGAGCACAGGGCTGGACACACTCTGAATTCTCACAGAGCTCCAAATAACTGATGGCTGCTCACTCTGAGTGACACTCTGTGCCTCATCAGTGCACAGGGGGACAACCCACGTTCTGTTCCTCGTGCAGCCCTTGCAGTTTGAGTTCTGGTGTCCACCAGCAGCAAGGTTGCTGTGTTATTGACATTAAAACTGCTCTATCGCTTTCATCTGTATCTAAAGTTAAACCTAATTTGTTGGTGTTGCAAATGTGTTCTGTTGCAAGACATTGGAAATGCCTGAGTTGCTTTATCACTTGGCCTGGGGGAAGCCCTCAAGGTTGTGTTGGACTGATACATGTCACTCTCTGTAAGATATCTGATGGCTTCTGCTGTCACTGCTTGGAGTCTCTGCTCTTGTTTTTCCTGACAAGAATAATGTAGGATCAAAAAAAGGTGCTGTCCTTTAGTGAAATGAAGAAATAAGTTCATATTGCTGAGCCTGTGAGAGTTTTTCATCCATGAAGGGTAAGAGATTCTTATCTTGGTGTCACAAAGCCGGTGTCAGT